CCCACCGTCGAGTCTCGGGCTCCCTGGCAGCCCCCGCCGGCCTGGCAGGATGGTGGTGTGCGGCCTGGCCTGCTGGAGGTGCAGGTGGCTCTTGCCCCTGCTGCTGGGCCTGGCCATCATCATGGGCATCATCGCCCTGGCGGGCCGGGGCTGGCTGGAGTCGGAGTCGGAGCCCTACGTGCAGCAAGCGTCCCTGTGGGAGAGCTGCACGCGGGGCGAGGAGGACCTCAACTGGCGCTGCGAGTCCCTCATGGACTACGGTAAGCGGGGGGACCCCTGCCCTGCCCTGCCCTGCCCTCCGAGGGACCCCGGCCCCTGCCCCCGGCGGCACCCAGGCAGCAGCGGGTGCGGGGGGTGCTGGCGCCATGAGCGGTCTCCCCACCTCTGCTGTGGGGCGGCTGCTTTTTGGGGTGGGGTTTCCCTTGCAGAACCAGTACTGATGCTGTTTCAGGGCTTCAGCCAGCGCAGAAATACAGATCCAGGCTGCTTCAGAGCAATCTTTTCTGTCGGTACAACACTGAGAAGCCAGAGTGGTGTTGGTTGTTTTTTTGTTGTTTTTTTTTATTTTTTTTTAAAAGTTATTTTACAACCAAAGTAAGAGAGCCAAGTGGCGACAGCTCTGTTCAGCTCTCCAGTTTGCTTTCTCTTGGTGACCTGCAGGCTGTGGTCCCAGCAGCTGTGCCTGGCACTGGCCAGCTCCCCTTTGCACTGGCAGCCTCGCTGGTCAGATGGTGAGCGTGGAAATCTTCGCACAGGGTGTCCTGTGCAGAGCCACACCTGGATGATGGCAAAACTGCCTTCCCCCAGCCTTCTGGAGGGAGAGGGCACCTTAATTTAACCCTGCCTGGCCAAGGGAACTCAGGTATTCAGATGCCTCCCAACCTGCAGCTTAAAACAGCCTGATGTGGGTTTGCAGATGGAAAAAAATGCTGTTTCCTGACTATACCTCTCTATTGCACTGGGCCTAAATCGGGATAATTGTGCCTCTGTTTTAACTTGCTGAGCTGCTTTTGTGTCTGGCATTGCCGGTGTAATAGTCTTAGTGCACACTCCCAGTTTTTGGGGGACTTTCTGTTTTTGCTAGAACACATGGGTCTGACTACATCTGCTTGTCCTTGAAACAAAATGCTTCTGGACAAATAAGCAGACCCGCCTTAAGATCCTGGACGAGGGTACTTTGGGGACTGGGAAGCTGGAAGGGCGTGTTTCAGCTGGGAGAGCCGAGACTGCTGCCCGGGGCAGATCCCTTGCCGCAGGAGCACACTGGACTGACTTCCAGAAGCTTTCCGTTGCAACACTCGTGTGTAAGCTAAGTCTTGAATCTATTGCAAGACCAGTGGCTTCATTTCTCAGCCAGGTGATAACTGCAGGTCTTACTGTAGGTGGAAGAAATCTGGCTAGTGTGACAAAAATATCAGTCTCCCCCATTAGACAGAGTAGAAAAGCTAGCGCAGAGTTGCTGAAATTTGCGCTGCACAGGGAAGAAGTGCTAATACAGTAGAGCTGCTGAAATCTGCTTTCTCCTGTAGTGACACTGCTTCTCATGTCCCTGAGTACTTGTGGGTGTGTGCTTTGCGTCAGCTCAGAGCATCCTGGGGCAAAAGCAACTTTCTGCTGTTTTTTCTAGTTAACAAGCTGTTGAAGAGGAATAGTATCTTTGACTTTGCTTATTTAAGCCTCGGTTTATTTAAACCAAAATTTATTTAAATCCTTGGCTTATTTAGACCAGTTTGACTTTGCCTCTTCTCTGATTTTCATGACATCAATGCCACTGTCTACTCAAATACTATTTACATCTAGAGACAGGATGTAACATATGAGTTCAGGTTTGATTTATTTTGTTTTCTTTTTTCTATGCTAATGCAATTAGACCTAAAATAGGTGAGGGCATTTACAAAGGAAAATGCCTAGCAGGCATTTACAGCACTGCTGCAGGAAAATAAAAGCTAATTAATTGAGACGGATAACTTGTGTTTTGCATACAGTAACTAGTATGCACTAACCGTCCTGTGAAACGAAAACTTCAGAGTGGATCCCCTTCAACAGAAAGCTCCATTAGACAGTTTCTTAATTGAGCTGTGGCATGCGTACTGAGAAGAGGGAGAGAAAGCAGGGAGTCACTTATTTTAAATGGGGGGAAAAAGGGGCAGGAACAGACAAAGACAGACTTGCAAATAGGAATGTCTCCTAAACTGCATTGCTTCTTAATGCACATTTGCAAGTGCCATATGAGAGGGAAGAAGTGGAAAGGGAAAAAGAGTGGGATGTCATTTGGCAGGGAAGGATTTTGTTTAGAGCTCTATACTGGCTTGCATCTGGGAAGTACCTGGCTGGCAACATCGGTATATTATCAAAATGTTGCAATGTAGAGCTATTGTACTGCACTATAATATGACTCAAGATGACTTAGTCTGGACCATTGCAGAATTAAACTGTTGACTCTGTTTAAAACACATCAGTAAGCCATCAGATATGACATGGATTGTTTGCAATGTGGTTACCTGGAGAGGATGGTTGTCTTTAGTGATGAGGCTGTAAGTTTAGGAGCAATATTTGTGGGTGGCTGTGTCCTCCTGGTTCTGAATGGCTGCTCCCAGCGACTTTGCTTTGAATTATCACTGTAAAATATGGGTGTGTATGTGTGCAATAAAGGTGATCCCATGGAGGTTAACTCTCTATATTCCTAACAGCCAGTTGGTATTCATCAAGTACACAATAGCCAGCCTAGAAAAAGGGAAGCATTCATCTGGATCCTTAGTAAGTGCCAAAAAAAAAAAAAAAGGGTGGAACCTAGAAGTAGGAGCCCAGCCTTTGTGAATCATGTTTCACTTCAGCTGTGCCACTGTACCTGTGTCCCTAGAAGCGTGGACTTTGATATCACAGATTACTGGTGAAGCTGACTGCATGTGTTGACTTCACTGAGGGGCCAGGGAAATAAAGGAGGAATGTTACAGGTACACTTAATTTTCAGTATGTCTCTTTTCGGGCATGCTTCTGTCTGATTTATGATGCCAGGGTGTATTCAAGACAACTTAGTTTATAGTGTCAGCTGAGTGCGGCACTCTGAAAATGCTAATGGCAGAGGTGTAGCAGTTGGTGTCCCTGTTAACACTTGGGAAACATTTGCTGGAACTCTCCAGTAAAAGATCCCAGCAAGCAGGCAAGGCTGGTTTCCCTGCCAGTGGGCTTTGCTGGTCTGTAGGCAGGCATACTTCCACTGGTAGCAGCCTGCAGGCGTTAAAGTTGGGAATATATAGGATTGTGCCTCTCCTGAGCTCCTGGCAGAGCCAAGTGGCTGAAGCCAAGTTTGTACTGGTGGGCTTTTATTTAATAGTTTGGTACTATAGCAATCATACTTCCTGCACTCCTAAAACCAAAACAGAGCTGTGATTCCCAATATTAATTCCCAACCAGCTCTGCCAGCAAACCTTTGATTCTGGGCTGTCCTGTGCTTGTGGTGGGTATGCACATAGCTTTCCTTCACCAGTTGTGCTGCCATGGAATTTTGCGCATTATGTGAGCTATATTGCTGAACATACTGCTCTTGCTCGCAGTCCACTACTCTGTTATTTTGTCAACAAAAGCATATTTGGGGGGCTTTTGATGTTATGAGCTCTCAAGGTGAAACAGGAATTGCTACTGCAATTTATATACAGAAGAATATTATAGCTGCAGTGTAAAAACGTCTAATCTATGCACATCATGGTAAAAACTTCAACCCTAAGATTCCAGTTATTCACAAGCTAACAAACTAGCTCCTGCTTTTGTAAAGAAGTGAACAAAGATGAGAAAGGCTTGCTACTTCAAATCCTGTAGCAGTTCATCTTCCTGCTAGACTATTTTCCCAGCCCTGTTATTCATTTCTAAAGGGAAATGTATATTTAAATGTCTTACGTTGTAGAGCTTCCATCTCCTCCCTGTGAAGGCTGAGGCACAGCCAAATAAAATTAGGAAATACAGTTAACAGCAAGGTTCTGTTGCTTTTTTGTTTAAATTTCATCATATGCTCATAATTAACTTTAAATAATCCCCACCCCTCCTAGTTATTTGCATGGTAACATTTGCAGCTTACTTCCTTTCCATAGTCATTGTTAATCAAGGTATATAATAAAACTCTTAATTCTTCCTGATAATTATAGACCTTAATTCCCCTAATTGATAAAGACTTTTCTGCTGATTAGATGCAAAGAACTCAGCTCTTTGAGGCAAAGCCGACCTGGGGAATGCTCCAACTGTTCCTCTGCTCTTCTATTCTGCTGCTCTTCTACTTATGCAGCCCCAAATTAATGTGGCGTTATTGTTTGATTTCACAAATATACATCATATTTATGCCTATTTTGAGTACCAAATACTCTCTCTGCCATATGAAGGGACCTGAGAATTTTCTGTTTTTATGGAAAAAAACTAAATTCTGGCTAAATGTCTCGTGAGCACAAGGTACTTCTGAGCATAATCCAGCTAGAAACTGGGGCTGATCTGTTTCTCTGAGCGTGAGCAGGTCTCTCCAGCTCTTAAGGCAGCAAACAGTGAGAGTGTAAACCCACACCTCTCCCCTCCCGGGAGCTGTAGGCAGAGGATCTTGCAGATGGAGACAGGAGAGCTGGGTGCCTGCAGGGGCTCAGTCAGCCCTCAGGGGTCTCTGGGAGGAGCAGGAGCTGGGAAAGCCGGACTTGATAGATATGGGGATGAGGGGGATCCCACATGGGGAGACATCAATTTCAGTCAGAGCCCTGCAGCAGCCCCGCCACTGAAAGCTCTCCTCGTTGCTGGGGTAGCAACAGTTCGTGTGGGAAAGGAGCGTGCCAGGGCTGCGCCCTACACTTGGTAAGGGTGCAGCTTCCCACCCCAACCTCTTCCATCAGTCACTTATTATAAAGACTTCTGGTTAATTTTTTGAGATTTCTCTTACAGGGCATATATGTAGAAGTCCAGAGCTTTTCGCTGCTCTTCCCGTGACTCCCACTGGTGCTCAAGTGGCAGGCTGGCCATTCGATGGCTGCTGTCTAGTCTGGCCCAGAGTAGACCCATCCAGAGCTGTGGCCAGCACCTATGACTTGGTCTTATCAGTATCAACCTGCTGATAGCTGCTGCTGGAGAAGATAATCCAGCAGGAGAAGGAGGGGAAGGTATGGGGTCACCAGCACTGAGCTCCGTCACATGTGAGCACAAAACCCACTTAATTTCGTAATGGTGGTGTCTGCTATTGCTCTGTTTCTGAAGACCTGAAACAAAGCTGGGCTTGATATTAATCTTCCTGATGAGACATCTCCTACAGCTACGTGTGGTGTCACTTTCATATCACCAGAGAAGAGAGAATAAATCACTGAGCTGAGCCGGGGCTGACCTGTATCCAAAAGCTTGTTACGCTCATAAAGTAAGCACAGCGGATATGGAAATAGCAGAGAGCACTGGGAGCTTTCACGCTCATATCTCCTCCAGTCATGTTTGTGTTGCACCAAACCCCAAGGTGTCTAACCTGCAGGTATATTTGAGTTTGCAACCTAAATTTTATCGGGCAGATGCCAGACTTGGCTTCCTACGCTGTGCCAGCATATGTAATGCATCTGAAAGGGAATGTAGTTTGATAACTAAGTGTTCCTTCTTGTTGTGCTTTTTTCTTAATAGGGCAAATATCAATAAATAGCATTCCTAGGTCATTTGGCCTGAATCACTTTCCCTGGGCTGGCTGGCTGTAACGGTTAACTATCCCTTTATATTAGTTATCCCTAAATAAATCCTATTGTGGAGACAATATCCAGTACCTGCATTAGGTACATCAGAGAATATTTTGTATGAAAAGATTTTATCGGACCACTGAGGTAGCTTTAATCTCCAGATGCTCATCAGGTGTCCTCCCTCCCTCCATCCTCGCCCCAGAGCACTCTCTTAGCAAAGGGGTATGAAACACGCACAGCTGGCTGAAGGAAAACAGTTTGGAAAGCTTTTGCTGTCTTGAGTAGCTCCAAGAAGGGAGAGGGGAAAGAAAACCCTTTTCCTTACCCTTTCTATGCCAGCATGACTGTCTTCAGGTGGTGGTTGTGGGTTTTGGGGCAAGATCTGGCTGACGGGTGGCTGCTGTATTTCACTTTTGCTGTTGGAATAAAGGGGAAAGAAACCAATTCAGATTGATCTAATGAAAATAGCTGTAAAACAATGCTTTGCTTTCAGAAGGTAAATTGATGTACATAGTAGAGGTGTCTGAGAGAGTTTTACTGCATTCTCTGTCTCAAATTACTAGTTTTTCTCCACTTATGCAACTAGTAGAGTACGTGAGTTAAGGTGGAGGATTTTAACTCTTTAGGAAAAGGTTCTCTGTTTCAGTCTTCTTCCTCTCAGTTTTTGCGCAGAAGGAATGGAGGCTGTGTTGAAAGCAGGGTGTCTCCAGAGTTGCTTCAGCTGTGTTGGAACAGACAGCTCTGAAAGAGTTTGGTGTTTTGGGGCGTGTGGTTTTTTGTTTGTTTGGGTTTTTTTTAAGTGTTCTGACCTAGATCCTGCTGCTCTTATTCCTACATTAGAGGGAGCTCGGGATCTGGCCCTACCTCTGTCTGAATGTGTGAAAGTAGAAACCCACGTTATGCAGACGTGGAAAGTGAGTTGTGATGACAGCTGGCTGGAAAACAAAGCACTAGCTGGCATGGTTGAGCCCATGTGGGCAGGTATCCTGCCTCCGGGGCAGGAACACCTTTGGTTGTTGTTTGTGTTGGGCTCACCTGAACTCCCGCTTGGTTTCTAAAGAGGACAGGGTCTGGCCATAATGAGGGCCTTTTCACGAGCTGGTGTTATGGAGAAAGGGGAATTGCCAACTGTTTTTTCTGGGAGGTTTTCTTACCTGGCCTGTGGTGGGTGAGTTCTGGGCGCTGGTGCTGCTCTGCTGGGATAAGGCCACTTGCTTCATGCCTGAGCCTCTCCAAACTGCAGTTGCTTGATCCTAAGAATCTGCACCACCCTGTCCCATCAAATGTCAAAGTAACGATTCAAAGAGGACTCTTCCACTTCACCTCAGATTCTGCTGTTTCTCTTCCACCTGCTACATTTTAGCTGTTTCTAAATTTTTTCAGCTGTGAATAGATATTTATCTTCAAGAGCTTTCTCTTTGTCATCTCTCACTTCAGCTATTCCACATCCATTTCTTTTTGGTCATTCTAATTTTGCTCCACATGCGTTATTCTTGTAGTAAACAAATAGGCAAGAAGGTGTATGCTGGCAGCACTACTATTTCCCATCAGTTATCTCCTGTGGTGCTACCCTCTTGTCTGCTCTCGTACTTCCCCGTGCATGGAAGTGGTTTTGTAAACTTGCATGTCGAACAGGAACGGTAACGATAAAGTACATTCTCAGTGGTTGTGTGCCCTATCTGCTCAGATGTCTGTGGGTCTCTTACAGATACAGAGTTTGGAGGTGTTATCTCTATTACCGTGCTGCACCGTATCCCTCTCTTCA